CTGGGGCAACAACAGTGAGACTCCATCTCAGAAAAATAAATACAAATAAAATAAAATGAAATAACAAAATAAATCCCACTATCAGATGATCAGCTACCCTGCCTTCGGGACAATCTACGGTTAACGAGTCAAAAGAAAATATACCCTCTGGGTGCAGTTGCTCACACCTTTAACCCCAGCACTTTGGGAGGTGAAGGCATACTCTCCAACATGGTGAAACATTGTCTACTAAAAATAAAAAAATTAGTTGGGCGTCGTGGCACACCCTGTAGTCCCTGCTACAAGGAAGGCTGAGGCAGGAGAATCACTTGAACCTGAGAGACGGAAGTTGCAGTGAGCCAAGATAGTGCCATAGCACTCCAGCCTGGCAACATAATGAGACTCTTAGGGGGAAAAAAAATGCAAGCACATACCCTCACTCTGGTCTCTTACCTCTGAAATATTGGGGCAAGGTTAAAAATGTATTAAGATTGGTTAAAACCTGGGGCAAAATATAAACTTATGTAGGGTTTTATTTGTCTGACTGAAATTTGAAAAGGAATTGTTTGAAGACTTCATTATGTCTCTCAGTTAAATTGTCTATTTTGAACCTGTCAGGAACATAAAATTTCGATTGAATGACTTTTTGAGACAGTCTTGCTCTGTTGCCAGGATGGAGTGCAGTGGCACGATATCGACTCAGTACAACCTCCCCCTCCCAGGTGCAAGCATTTCTCCTGCCTCAGCCTCCCAAGTAGTTGGTACTACAGGCACAAACCACCACACCCACCTAATTTCTGTATTTTTAAAGTACAGACAGGGTTTCACCATGTTGACCAAGATGGTCTCGTTCTTTTGACCTTGTGACTGCCCATCTCGGCCTCCCAAAGTGCTGGGACTACAGTCATGAGGCACTGCGTCCGGCCGGTGAATGACTTTTTCAAGAGCACTGTATATTTTAATAAGAGAAATGTGTGTCTTGGTTACTACCAGCAATGCCTGTTGCTCCAAAGGGAATGAGGAGTGGCCTGGCAAAGGCTGGTATTTGGCTTCAGTATATGTAGCAATGTTATTTTTATCTATGTTTTGGGTATATGTTAGAAAAGGGATTCACAGGTTTTTCTTTTTCTTTTTTGTTTACATTATGGGGACAATTTTTACGTAATGCCTC